AGGCCAAGGGAGATGGCAAAGCTCCTGACCTGGAATGTTAATGGATTAAATATTCCTCAAAAGAGAAAAAAAATCTACCATTATTTAAAGCAACACAACAATGATATTATCTGCTTGCAAGAAACTCATATTACATCTAAAGACCAAAAATACTTAAACAATCCTCGTTTGGGATCTCATTTTGTATCTCCCGCCCCTGGGAAAAAAGGGGGTGTGGTAATTTATGTTAAGCAGAATTTATCTGCTATCCTGTTAGAATCAGATCCTCATGGAAGATATGTTATGCTTGAACTTGGTTTATATGGCAAGAAAATTCTTATTGTGGGGCTGTATGCACCAAACCAGCAACAGGAGCAATTCTACAGGTTGCTACATCAGAAAATAACCTTGTTGGACTATAGATCTGTGATTTTAATGGGAGACTGGAATGGTGTCTTAGATATACAAAAGGACAAAAAAGGCTCTTCTACTTTTTTTAAACAGGCTAAACTACCTAAAGCCTTCTTTGACATGAAAGAAGATTGGGAATTGAGAGACTATTGGCGTGAACGTAACCAAGAAGAAAGGGACTTTACCTTCTTCTCAGATAGACACCAATCTTTCTCAAGAATTGATTTTTTTTTGATCACAACAGATTTATACAACAGGGTGAAGAATGTAAAAATTTTTCCTAGGACATTGTCTGATCATAGTCCAGTTTGGATGGAACTGTTTGCTGAGAAAGAAGACAGGAGATCCTGGAGGGTGAATGAGAATTTATTTAAACAAGAAAAAAATGTCCACAAACTAAAGGAATGTTTAAAGGAATATTTTGCTTTAAATATGAATAAGGGAACATCAATGTCAATGGTGTGGGATGCAAGTAAAGCTTTTATGCGTGGTATTTTGATAAAAATGAATAACTTGCATAGACAGAAACAGATTCAGAAACGTAAAGATTTAGAAGAGGAGATTAAATTAAAAGAGAAACTCCTAATTTCAAATCCTTTAGATGAAAAGGTGAAAGGAGCTATAAAACTGTTAAAAACACAATTTAACATGTTGATGGCTGATCAAGCTGCAACCAATTTACTATTTATGAAACAAAATACATTTTGTAATGCTAATAAACCAGGGAGATGGTTGGCTTATCAGTTAAGAAAGAAACAGAAACAGAGGAATATAGATAAAATAAATTATAATGGTAAATTGGTTTATCAGAAAGAATTGATTAAGAAATCTTTTTTAGAATACTACCAAAAATTATACAAGAGTACTAATATTCAAACTACAGATATAAACAATTATTTAGGTAAAGTTAATTTTTCTAAATTAACAGAAGATCAGGAAAAAGAGATTAATGGTTTAATTACTAAGGAAGAAATTGTTACAGCTATTAAACAATTGAAATTGGGCAAAGCGCCGGGTACGGATGGGTTGACATCTATTTATTATAAAACTCTAGTAGAAGAGATGACTCAACCGTTGTGTGAATTGTTTAATAACTTATTACAGGGGTTAGAGATCCCTCCATCTTGGCGTAATGCATTTATATCACTGATTCCAAAAGACAATCAAGATCTTACATTGCCTAAAAATTATAGGCCTATATCTCTTTTAAATGTGGATTATAAAATTTTTGCAAAAATTTTAGCCAACAGGCTTATGGGGATCTTGCAGCAGCTTATACATAAGGATCAATCGGGTTTTATAACTGGAAGGTATATGAAAAATAATGTCAGACAAATCATTAACTTATTAGAGTATTTAGAAAAGAATAACCAAGTCTCTGCAGGCCTGATATTTTTGGATGCTGAAAAAGCCTTTGACCAAGTGAATTGGCAGTTTATGTTATGTTTAATTAAGGAGATGAATTTTGGACAAAATATATTACAAGTATTATCTAATATATATCAAAAACAGACTGCTCAACTTATTGTAAATGGGGGTTTGTCAGAGGCTTTTGTAATAGAAAAAGGTACAAGACAGGGATGCCCGTTATCTCCGTTATTGTTCGTTTTAACATTGGAAATTTTGTTGATTAAAATTCGGGAGTCTCAAGAAATAAAAGGAATAGAAATTAATAAAAAAGAATATAAATTAAGAGCCTTTGCAGATGACTTGGTTGTTACTTTGTCTCAACCTACTTGTTCGGTGGTAAAATTATTACAATTGATCCAACAATATGGACGTGTTTCTGGTTTTAAAATTAATAATAATAAGACTAAAATATTAGCTAAAAATATGACTAATGGTGATAAACAGGTTCTAGTTAAGTTAACAGACTTTGAAATTGTTGATAAGGTAAAATATTTGGGGGTTATATTATCTGCTTCCAATGCAAAATTGTATAAAAATAATTATGAAAAGCTGTGGACGGAGGTACAGAAGGATTTAAAAAATTGGAACAATTTACAGTTATCCCTTATGGGTAGAATTGCAGTTATTAAAATGAATGTCCTGCCAAAGTTTATTTTTCTGTTTCAAATGTTACCTATTTTAAAGAGTGATCGTAATTTAGATGAATGGCAAAAAGGTATTAATAAATTTGTTTGGGCAGGGAAAAAACCAAGGGTGAAACTTAAAATAATGCAAGATTTTCGTGAGAGAGGCGGACTCAAGGTACCAAATATGAAATTGTATTATGATGCTGTAGTATTAACATTGATCAGCGATTGGGTGAATTTAACAAATATAGAAATACTTCATTTGGAAGGTTGGGACTTACTTTTTGGATGGCATGCCTATTTAATATTTAATAAAAAAGTGGATTGGGTTTTTAAGTCTCATATTATAAGAATCTCTTTGCTTAGAGTATGGAGGAAGTATTATAAATGTGATTTTAAAATACCATTATGGGCTATACCTCGGCATGCCATAGAAGGCATAAGGAAAGGGGTTAATATGGATATGGTCTCTTATGCACAGTTACTTAGATGGGATGGCCAAGACTGGCAGTTAAAATCTTTGGAAGAATTAACACATGAAAATCTAATTTATTCATGGTTCCAATATAGACAAATAGTGGATAGATGGAAGATGGATTGTAAAATGGGCTGGCTCAGAGAAGATGAAATTCTTCTAAAACAAGTAAGAGATCAAAGGCCAACCCATATAAAGAGAGTTTATGGGGTTTTAGTGGAATTGGATTCAGAATCTGAATTAGTTAAAGATTGTATGATTAAATGGGCACAGAATATTGGTGAATCGATTTCAATGGATACTTGGGAACTTATTTGGATAAGAAATGTTAAATTCACACAAGCGCAAAATTTAAGAGAGAATTTTTATAAGATGTTTTATAGATGGCACCTTGATCCAAAGAAAATGTCCATTATGTACCCTAATTTACAGCCGAAATGCTGGAGATGTGGATACTTGGATGCTACTTATTATCATATCTGGTGGACGTGTAAGCATATAAAAGCTTTTTGGATTAAGATATGGTGGAATATTCAAAGAATTTTTAGAAAGAGGGTAAAATTTACTCCGCAATTATTTTTATTAGGTATCGTTATTGATTGTGATGCTAAGGAGGTTATATTGATGTTAAATTTGATTACAGCCGCTAGGCTGTTAATAGGACAATATTGGAAGAAGGAATCCTTGCCTACTTTACAAGAGTGGTTTTATAAAGTTTCGTATTTGGCAGAAATGGCAAAGATTTCGGCTTTTTTAAAGGAGCAATCTCAAGAGAAATTTTTTGCGGTATGGGAAAAATGGATAAATTTTATACAACATAATTTGGATATGGAAAAATATTATTTAGCTTTTCTATAACTTGTAATGATTGTTTTTTTTTTTTCTTTCTTTCTTCTTTTTTTTTACGCTTTATGTATTATTATTCATATACTTTTTTATATATGTTTTATTTTTCGTCTACCTTTTTCTTTTTTTCTTTCTCTCTCTTTTTTCTTTTTCCTTTTTTCCTCTTTTTTTTTTAGTATATATTATTCACTTTAAAGCTTATGTTATGTATATTATTATTATATATATTATGATTACGATTTTTATTATTATTATTAATTATTTTATAAATTGTAAACGTTATTTTTAAAATTTGTTAAATAATCCTATATTCAGTTCTGGGAAGTCGGGGGGGGGAGGGTGGGGTGGTTTGGGAGGGGGGGGGTGGATGTTTATCTGTAAAATTTCTGAAAAAATTCAATAAAAAAAAAAAAAACCTTGTGATTGCTTGTTCTCCAGACCTCAGCCCTTCAATAATAGGGCTACATCGACTGCAGGCCCTTGGTAAAAAAACATCTTGATTGTATTATATTAGACACTGCTATGTTAATGTGCCGATTGTGGTATCCTGAAGTACTTTGTTTCTGAAATATATTCCAGATATTCAGAGGAGTATATTTGTTCTATTTCCTGTCCTCTTTGTGCACTTTTGATCTCTTGCCAGAAATAATCACTTTCAATGTTTGATTCCCGATTTCACTCTTTAGCAGAAATTACTCATTTTGACCAGCAGCCCATTAAAATGATTCTGCTTCAGAAGAATTATGTAGTACCCTTTTGCTGAGAACAACCAATAAAAAGGAATAAAATGCCTCATAAGTGAGCTGCCTCTGGCAGCTAAGAAGTCATCATGGATACACATTTAGTTAATTATCAGCATTGCCCAAGATAGATTAGGATAATGACAGACAGTTAGGTCTAGTGGTTAGGGCACCAGGCTAAAACAGGGAGACTATAAAATCTAGTTCTCCCTTATGTATGAAAGCCACCTGAGTGACTTTGGGCCACTCGTTCAGATTGTCTCTTAGCATAACTAACTTCACAGGGTTGTTGTTGTGAAGAAAATAGGAGGACGAAGGAGTATTAGGAATGTTCATCATCTTGAATTATTTATAAAAAATTAAGGCAGGATAAAAAAATGTTATTGATTTCAATTGAATGTTTACCAGCTACTCCATTCCCCCTTGTTTCTCAGCTGCTTCCAAGCAACATTTTCTATGCCATGCCCAGCCCTTGTGGACACACTATGTTAAATCACATCTTGACCTGCTCACCAGCAATTAGTGTATTTTGTTGTCGAGCCTGTTCCAAAAGCAGGACATGTTGAAGCAAGGAAGCGTGCCCATGATTATTGGTCTCTCCCTCAAGAGCAACCCCCAGAAGGCAACTGGGAATAGATGACATGCTGAGGAACTTGCTTGTCAAGGCACCTCCCTGGCGCAATGACTGGATGCTCTGGCGCTCTGCTTCTTGCTGTGTGGTTAGATTTGGGGAGGCCTAATGGAAAGAGAGACAAAGAGGGCTTTTAGATCTCGTAGGTCCAGATGGGAGATACAATAAAGTAAAATATAAAGTAGGAAAAAATGAAAAAATATGAAATTAAGAGGTAAAAGTGCAAAAGCAAAGAAAGAAAAAGAAACAAAGTGGCTTCTAATTTCCTTTATAGCATTCAAAAGCATTTTCACTGCAAAATACACACTCACTGTCCCCTTCATCCATTTTAAACTTTCTTACATCATCTCCTTATTAATCTTTTTGCCAGAAGTTCTTATAAGTCTTTAAAACTTTTTTCTCTTTATTCCTTAGTAATCCAGAAAAAATGATAACCCACCAAGTGGAATATTATCCTGCCACAAAGAAAAAAAATATCTTTAGCTATAAATTAATTAGTTCCAAAAGTGATTAAGAAATGAGGACTGGGCAAAGTTTATGATTCTCGTTGAGATAGTGAAGAGTTCTTGAAGTCCAGGAATATCTTGGAGCTACAAAATCCACATTCCTGTCTTAACCTGATTAATACTATGAATGTTTCATCTTTTAGTGTGCATTACTATAATCATTCTAGATGTTCAATAAATGGAAGGACGAGATGAGTTTAATGAAGAAATATATAGAAAACTACACCCTTCCTATTATATCCCATAAATTCATCAAAAATATTAACCAGATTCTGCAGAGCTCTGGAAAGGTCTACACCTTGCAGTAAGTTTAGGAAAACATGATGTTGAAGAAGGTCCAGGTATGGAAATAATGTCTTTGGATATTTTTAGCCTCATTAAGATATCACTGGATACCCAATTTAAATTCCCAGCCACATCTATAGTTAATCCGATCCATTATCTCCCCCTATTTGATCTCTCTGCTTCTGCCATTTGCCTTGTACTTACTTCATATTGGAAGTAGAGTTCCATTCTACTTTTTGTAAAGCTCCATATGTACTAATTGTAATTATAGTGATTTTATGAACAAGAACTATTGCAGCAGCAATAGGAAAACTCAAGCTCCAGAAACTTCACTGATTTGAAACATTTTTTTTTCCTTTCCCTTCATTGTTAATTTAAAATGTTAATTAGGGGAAATGACTGAATAAATGATTAAAATCTTGATACATTTTAAACTTTCATTTTGATTATGTTTAAAATTTTAATTTGAAAAATATTGGAGCAAATCTCTTGCAGCCGTACTCACATTGAGGTGTGAATTTGTGACTGTGACAGTTGCCTGGAGTCCTAAGGAGATATTGGGCAATGATGGAGAAGTGTATAGACTGAGTTGGTTAGCTGATCCATCCACATTAACAGCTTGGTGTTGGGGCAACATCTATATAAAAGGAAAAAAAGGATTAGGAACAAGAGGGAGCAGTAGATAAGATAACAGAGATAAATAAGAATATGTAATATATAGCAGGAAGAAAAAAACCTTGTTATTCTCCCAACTCTTTAATATGACCTCATTAACAAGGCAAGACAGAGCAGAGATCCTGGGATATACTGTAAAAACCAAAAATAATTATTTTCTTATTTTATATATATTATATCCAAGAAACAAAATAATAAACAGCTGAGGGATCAATGTCCCTGAATAATAGTCAGTTAACATACCATCTGGAAATCTGGAGCTATGCTGGCCAGGAATTATGGGATTTATAGTGTAATACATCTAGCCAGGCAGAATTAATAAGACTGGTATAAGCATTTCCTTTTCAATTATTCTCTACTAATCAGAACAGATTTACATATGCTTGATAATCTAAAATTAGCTCAATAAGAAATTAAAGTTGTGAGTTCTGATATCAAAAGTCATCAAGAAAACAAAGATTAAAACTCCCCAATTCTTTTCAGAGAAACTTTACCCACAAAGGAAATTAAATTATGTGCCAAAACTGGACTGGATTGAATCTCTAAGCCATATACAGCCATACAGCTGCATTTCAAGGCAGCTGGGACTCTGAATTCGTAAATAAATATTCATTGCTTTCTCTTTTGCTTTTAATCCTTTAGACAAATAAAAGAAGACGTTATATTCCTCCAAATATTTTGTCTACATCCTCGTTCTGCATCAATAGATACCACCAAATTAGTCTACTTGGATTATTCATACAACTGCATCAGTAATGATATGATTCCAGCAGATAAGAATAATTGTTTCAAAAGTATGTTATAAACTTATCATAGAAGATTACTACCTCTCTGCTAGTATTAGATTTTAAAATCTTATCAGCTGGGCTGAACAACTATCAAAGATGCAACTAAGGCAGTTGTGGCTGACTCCATCTTCTTTCACCCTTATATCTCTTCTCTACTGCAACAGTTGGCATGGTTGTATAGTATCTGCCACTAACACTGTAGATTTTTTCTTTTTCCTTGGGTGCTACAAACACTTTACCACTGTAAAGTGAATTATACACTGGTAGTAAATGATGGTGTCATTTTAAAGTTAAAATTACAATCATATATTTTAATTTGATGTAAGATAGAATCAAAGCCTTTCTTGCATATGTTTGTGCACAAATATATATATATATATATAGACATACATTTACTCTGTTTCAAAATGTACAGTATACATTAACTGTATAATTGCAATGCAATATTCCCACATAGATTTGCTGTCTGGACTGTTCCTGGCTCAAGATAATGTTAGATATTTAAATAATTAAATTTCTCGTATTTTTTTTAAATCTCCCTAATAGGCCTAGATAATGATGATATTATAAGTGTATTTCAAGCAAGAAATAGGAGCTTGGAACAATGATATTGTTCTTTTCAATGTCCAAAAGCAGATTTGTCCACCAGGTGGTGTTTTGTTTTGTAACAATGGGAAAACACTCTTCAGAAGTGCTGGGAGAAGGGACTGTCATGTAGAAAGTAATGATAGGTTCTTCTGCACTGCAGCTCACTCCAGCCCAGCCCAGTGCAGTCCAGAAGAAGTCAAGGGGAAAAAAGTGAGAGAATGGAAATACCCACAGAATTTTCCCCACAGAAACAGGACAAATGCTCAGTGAAAATCAGAAGAAAATATCTAGCTTTGCTTTTTACAGACAAAACCATTTCTCTCTTCAGGGAGTTTTCAGGTTGTTACAAGAAACCTGGCACTGTCCATATAAATACTGCATAGAATCACATGTTCTCTTGGAAAAGAGAGTAAAAGCAATGTTTTTGTTCAACAGACATCCTATCACATTAAAAGCTTTTGTTGAAGAGAAATAGTCAATGTGTGAATTTGCCATTCTTCTTCATCTTTTCTAATGAGTCTCAGCCTTTCCTCTTGTTGCTGCCTTATCAGTTCTGGGGCTATATTGGCTCACATATCTGGGCCTGATCCCATTTCAGGTTGGCCTTCCTGCTTTGACTTACGTTTAGGGTGGGCACCTGCTTCTGTTCTCTTCCAGTCTGTTCAACTGGAGAAACTGCCCTTTCTATTTGACCCACATTAGTGTGTTTAGTATATGCTGTGGCATTGGGTCTGGTTTCATCAGCCAGCATGATGTCTAATTTCTGCAAGGGCAAAGCTCCTTTCTTTTAAGAGCCGTGGTGGTGCAGTGATTAGAATGCAGTATTGCAGGCTAATTCATTGCTCACTCCAGGACTTTGATTCTGAATGAGTCAAAGTTGATTCAGCCTTCCATTCTTCCGAGGTCAGTAAAATGAGGGCTCAGATTTTGTGAGCAATATTCTGACTCTGTAAACCACTTAAAGAGGGCTGTAAAGCACTATGCAGCGGTATATAAGTCTATTACTATTGCCCTCTTTCAACAATTGTTTTTCATGCATGATATTCTGGATCACTGCATCAGCCAGCACCCCTTGTAGTTGCCCCTTTCAATTGGATATCTCTGTTAGATATCCCACTTTGCTTTAGGTCATTGCACTGTGTTTTGGATATCCCACTCTGCCACCACGTTGCTCTAGGAACTTTTGTTTATATCCAATTCAGGGCCCACTCCAGCCTCTCTGGCCTTTAGATAATCCACACACCAGTAGACCATTGGATAGTAGTCCTAGTTTGCTATCTCACTCTTCCCAGGTCTACTGCTGCTCCTGCTCTTTATTATCAGGAATAAATTATAGTTCTCTTTAACTTCAGGTTGTTTCCAATTTCCTATACAGAATAGCAAAACCTACAACCCTTCTTATTCCCAGAATCCTTCAATGCCAACCGCTCCATCATAACAAACATGACCATCCTTGTACCACCACACTCAGATGCTTTGCTGCAAGGCTTTTATTGCTGCTGTTTGCCAAGCTAGATGGGCTAGCTGGGAAGAAGCAGGGCACCATCAGCCCAAGGTGTGAGCTACTCTCAGCCAGCCTGCCCATTCATAGTGGTTAATTGAGAAATTTCTATTATGTTATTACCTAAAAGAAAATTTTAATGAAATATACTGTAGATATGACTTCAAGAAAAATTGTCTGGAATGTATAAAGTTACTTCAAATTTATTGAAAATGAACGGTCATTTTATTATGTGTGGTGGATTTGTAAAAAAAGTCTGAAATTTCTAGAGTCAAATACATATAATAATTCAAAGAATTGTAAACTCAAAGGTCCCTTTTTCTTCAAAAGGAAACTGGACTGTTTTTTCCTTGAGGAAGAAGAAGAAAATGTTTCATTTCTCATCCTAGGAGCTTCATCAGTTCTGGTGGTGAGGGGAATGGAAAGATAGGTACTAAGAGTTGAGATAGGATGGTGGGAGAAGGGAAGGATAGGTTCTCATAGGATGGGGGGAGGTGGAAGGATTGCATTTCTTTGTAGTTATCCGGTCATTAGCATTCTCTGAGAGCTGTTGAGGCCACTTGGGGATTTGTCTGTGCCCTCAGGGTCACCTGAATCAGGGTGCAATTGGTTGTTGAATTTTCTTGGAACTGCTGCAAGGGCTGCATTATAAACTGGAGATAGTGTCTTATTCCCCCTCCTCTGTTGAGGAAGAGGTATTTAATTCTAATCCTCTTTCAAACCAATGGTCCTCTCTATCCAAAATGTGGACTTTGCTGTCTTTAAAAGAGTGTTTTTCAAATGCAGATGAACTGCTGAATCTTGTCCTGATGGGTTTGTTCTCCTATGTCAGTGGCGGCAAACCTATGGCATGCGTGCCAGAGGCGGCAATCAGAGCCCTCTCTGTTGGCACATGCGCCACTGCTGCCAGCAGCAGGTCCATCAGGCTGCCACCGCCACACAGAGCAGGAGCCCCATCCAGCACAAAGGAGGTGAAGCGGCCGACTAGCAAGCTCGAGTAGAGGTGGTAGAGCAGAGGTCACCAACCATTGTTGATTGGTGGACTGGAAGAAAAGGGAGGGGGAAGCATTTTACATGCGGGCATGTGCACACAGGGCCGCGAGCACGCACACACTGCAAATGGAGCGGGGCTGGTTCCTGCATGATATTCACTAGCCCTGTCCTGTTCTTGCGTAGTGCAGTGCCTTGTATCTGCACCCTGTGACATGGTGGCGGCCATTTTTGCACCCTGCAGCTCGGTGGCCCATTTTTGCACCCCTGGTTTTTGCATGCCAGAGGCAGCACTCAGAGATGCCTCCTTGCCCTCCCCCCCGAGGGCACCACAATGCTGATGTGGCCCTGGCACTTTACAATAAATAAGTGGATTTTGGGTTGCTGTTTGGACACTCTGTCTCTAAAAGGTTCGCCATCAGTATCTTATGTTGTGCCATGTGCTAGTGAAGTGGTTGTTTTGTTTTATCAATGTACAGATCTGCATATATATCCCTGATATATTGCACTGCCTATATCACATTGCTGTTTGTGTCTGGATGTTTTTTCCTTGGGCTGGACAAGCTTCTGCCTTAGTGTATTCCTGGCTTTAAAGTGAACATATATATTGTGTTGAACTGAACATGTGAAAATGTATGTTGTATTGAATGTTGTGTTGAACTGAAATCAGAACACAACAACATGTACGTTGTGTTGAACTGAAATCAGAACTTTTCTTGCTAGGATTAACTGACAGTCAAGTAGAAAAGAGCCATAGAGGATTATTTTTATATATAATTACTACTGCAAGACTATTACATGCACGAAAATAGAAATGCTCTGAAATACCCACAGCAAAGGGATGGTTGGTGAAGACCGAATTAGTGAAGATGGTAAATTTAACTTTTTTGATTAAAGATCAATAATTATATTTATCAATAACTGAAAAATCCTTATATGCATTTTAATGAAAAAAAGAAAAAAATGAATTTGTGATTTATGGGTTTGAGGATTGGTATGGGTGGACTATAGCAAGAAGGAAATTATAATGTAACATTAGACAGAGAATAAAATATAAATTCATTTATAACAGTGGTTCTGAACCTTTCTAATGCCGCGACCCCATAATACAGTTCCCTATGTTGACCCCCAACCACTTATACATCACCGGGTGCCAAGGGCGTGGCCAAAGAAAAGGGGGAAAAATGGCAGACAGCCTTGTTTGGCGACCCCTGTGAAATGGTCATTCGACCCCAAATGGGGTCCCGACCCACAGGTTGAGAACCACTGATTTATAACTTAAAAAGATTGAAGCTGCTTCTTCATATTTTTTCTTTTCTATTTCTTTTTCTATTTTCTTTGTTTCAAATATTTGTACTGTTTTTATCTTGTTAAAATTATTCAATAAAAATTAAACACATACACTATGTGCACATTCATAAAGAGAGAGAGAGAGCATATGTATACGCTTGGAAAGCAAGTAAGAGATGTTTTATCCCATTGCTATCTCACATTTAATTTGTGAAGCTAAAATAGTGACAGGCCAAGTCTACTGGAGAGCCCAGATAAGCGCAGCCATCTGAGCCCTGGTCTGTTTGCCCCAAACCCAACTATTGTTCAAAGCAACAAATACTGGGCTAAATATGTATATGTAGACAAGGAAAGAGACAAAGCACATATCATAGCAAGTAGCAATACTCTTTCACTAGACTTACCTCAGAATGTATATTAGGCACTGAACCAGTAAGCCCATTTTCTGTGATGGTGCTGTTGGAACTATTTGGGGAACTTGGGCCAGATCCAGGAGCACTGCTGCACATTGAAGACACTGCAATGAAAGTTTTTTTGGGGGGTGGGGGGGGGAGGAAATTGCCAAGTTAGTTCTCCACTGAATTAAGATGCTCTTGTGCCCAAGTAGGCTACTGAAAATTTCCCTTTTTATTTTGAAGCAGAATTAAGTTTCAGTTCACACGGTAGCAAAGAAATATTGGAAAAATATATGTTAAAAAGATAAAATTCAGTTGTTGGTTTGGTTTTCCTTTCTAACAGAACAAAGCACCAAAGAATGTTAACATGCAATAAAGGAATATCATGTTACACAACATACAATTTACACAAGCTGCGTAAAAAAAAATCCCTAGCATTTCCATGTTTTTAGTTCACAGGGCTATTAACTGAACAGCTGTCTCAACTGAAAACACTTATTACAAATGATATACACTCAGTCTTCTTTTACAAGATTTACTGAAATGAAAGGATATCATTAAAGAATTTCAGTGATTAATGATTCCCAATTTTCCCTGAATATGTATACATTTAGTTGGAGATATTCTTAGTTTCTTTCTAACAGTTTTTCAATGAACTGGTGAGGAAATACTTCTTTTCACTAATAACTGAGAAGCTTGCAGGTGGCTATTTACCACATAGTTTCCTGAAACCATATCAATCTGTAAACTATTACCTCCCTTTGTGATTTTCTAATCAAAATGTTTAGATTTCCTTGTTTATCAGAATTGATAAAAAAGAGAAGGATGCAATGCATGATTCCACCACACAGAAATGAATGCTCCTAGCTTTGTTTTTGACATTTCAAATTCATCTTTCTACATTAATTATAAATACCGACATGAAACAAAGAGAACTCTAGTTTCCCAGAAGGAGCCTGAGGTTGCTAAGAGCTCAAATGTCAACTTTCTATACTCCTTTCCCCAATTAAAATAAAAATCTCTTCAGAGTGTTGTTCTATAACTTCTACAAATTAAATGGCCATCCAATAAATTACTACTATTTAAATAATAATAATAATAATAACAATAATAAAGTTGAAAGGGATCTTGGAGATCATCTAGTCCAACCCCCCGCTCAGGCAGGAAACCCTATACCACGGGTCGGCAACCCGTGGCTCCGGAGCCGCATGTGGCTCTTTGAGCCATCCCCTGCGGCTCCAGAGCCTCCCCCCATTTTCAGAGAGAGACAAGGAGAGAGAGAGGCACTTTCTCTCTCTTTCTCTCTGTCTCTCATGTGGACTTGCCCCCTCGCAGGGCTCCTGAATGACCCTGCGCCCGGGTGCCCCACCCCCTGGGAGAAGGGCGGCCAGGAAGTCCCTTTCCCGGGCTGGCCCCATCTGAGGCGCACGTGGCTGGGGAGCCATGTGGGGAAGCCCCAAGATCCCCTCTGGGAACAGCCCTCCCGAGCCTCCACTGAGCGAGCCAGCCCTTCCACAAATGTGGCCCCTAGGGAGAGCAGCCCCTCCGATGCCCAGCCGGCGCGACCGTTGACCAAGCAGCAGCAGAGCTGGAGACAGAGGGTCATTGGCGGGGGGGAGGGGGCTCTGAGTCCACTGCTGCAAAGTGGCTACAGGGCAGGTAGCGCCCCCCCGGCTTACTTGCTCCGGGCGGCACTCTCAGTTGGGGCATCGCTTCCTGGGCCATCCCCGGGCCGCTCCCTGGGCAGCCAAGCCAGCCACATGTCTCCCCGGGCCAGACGGCAGTCATGGCTGGTGCGGCGGCCAGTGGGAGCACCGCACCCCGGGAAGCTGAGCCGGCCACATGTCTCCCTAGGCTGGGCCGGGCGGCAGTCATGGCTGGGGCAGCAGCCAGCATGGGCATCGCTCCCCGAGAAGCCGAGCTGGCCACATGTCTCCCCAGGCCGGGCCGGGCGGTAGTCATGGCTGGGGCAGCAGCCAGTGCAGGCATCGCTACCCAGGAAGCCAAGCTGGCCATATGTCTCCCTGGGCCGGGCCGGGCAGCAGTCATGGCTGAGGCAGCGGCTGGTGAGGGCATCGCTCCCCGGGAAGCCGAGCCGGCCACTTGTCTCCCCAGGCCAGGCCGCAGTCATGGCTGGGGCAGCGGCCGGCGCGGGCATCGTTCCCCAAGAAGCCGAGCTGGCCACATGTCTCCCCAGGCTGGGTGGGGCAGCAGTCAAGCATGAAGCTCGCCTGGATGCCGCAGGGCTCTCCACCACCTGGCCCCATTGGTGGCGTCTTCCTCGACCACTTTCGGGGAGCCGCCAGCACCGCTGCCCTCAGTGCTGCAGGAGGAGACCTTGGGCTGTGAGGCTGGTGGGGCCGGCAGCGATTGGGACCCCCCCTCGACCCCGCGGCGGCATTCCCCATTGCCGGCACAACTGCCCACGGTGCACCCAGTCCTGACACCCTCCTCCTGCAACGGCAAAGTGGCTGAGGATGTGGCGGGGGCGGGGGGACCCCAACCATGCTGCAGTGGCCAACGCCGCCGGAGCTGCCGCCGCCACCACCAGAGCTGCTGCCTCCTGTCCTCCCCCTCCCCGCCTGTTCAGCTGAGGACACGGCGGGGTGGCGGCTGAGAGCGCTGCCTCTCATCCTGCTCCCCCTCCCCACCTGTTTGGCTGAGGACATGGGGGGGCGGCTGGGAGCTGCTGCCTCCTGTCCTGCTCCCCCTCCCCACCCATTCATCTGAGGATGCGGTGGGGGAGTGACTGGGAGCTGCTGCCACCCGTCCTGCTCCCCCTCTCTGTCCGTTTGGCACTGTCTGCCTTTCGCTCTCTCTCTCTCTTCACCTGGAGGGAGAGGGAGAGAGAGAGAAAGAGAGAGAGAGAGGAAAGAGAGAAAGAGGAAAGGAAGAGAAGAGAAAGAGAGAGGAAAGAGAGAGAAAGAGGAAAGGAAGAGAAGAGAAAGAGAGAGGAAAGAGAGAGAAAGAGAGAGGAAAGAGAAGAGAAAGGAGAGAGAGAGAAAGTTAGAGGAAAGAGAGAAAGAGGAAAGAGAAAGAGGGGAAAGAGAGAAAGAAAGAGAAAGAGGGAAAGGAAAGAGCCCCTAAGATATTGGAACACTGCTATCATGTCCATCCTCGTCCTTCTCTTCATTAAACTAGACATACTCAATTCAGCAACCGTTGCTTATATATTTTAGCCTCCAGTCCCCTAATCATCTTTGTTGCTCTTCTCTGTATTCTTTCTAGAGTCTCAACATCTTTTTTACATTGTGGTGACCAAAACTGGATGCAGTATTCCAAGTGTGGCCTTACTAAGGCATTGTAAAGTGCTATTAATACTTCACATGATCTTGATTCTATCCCTCTGTTAATGTAGCCTAACACTGAGTTGTTTTTTTTCGGCAGCTGTAGCACACTGCTAGCTCATATCTAAGAGACTGTCCATTAGGATTCTGAGATCCCTCTCATAGTTGCTACTATTGAGCAAGGTACCCCCTATACTATACCTGTACATTTGGTTTTTCTTGCCTAATTGTAGAACCATATTTTTTTCACCATTGAATTTCATTTTGTTAGATAGTGCCCAGTGTTCAAATCTGTCCAGATCCTCTTGTATCTTAAACCTGTCTTCTGGAGTGTTGGCTATTCCTGCCAATTTGGTGTCGTCTGCAAGTTTGATGAGTTCCCCATCTATCCCCTCACCCAAATCATTGATGAAGATATTGAAGAGCACTGGGCCTAGAACAGAGCCCTGGGGCACCCCACTGTACACTTCCCTCCATGTAGACGCAGTTCCATTGAAGACCACACGCTGAGTACAGCTGGTCAACCAGCTACGAATCCATCTGATGGTGATGCTGTCTAATCCACATTTTTCTATCTTATCAAGTAGTAGGTTGTGATCTACTTTATCAAATGCTTTACTGAAGTCCAAGTAAATTATATCCACAGCATTCCTCTGGTCCACTAATTTTGTCACTTGGTTAAAGAATGCAATAAGATTTGTCTGGCATGATCTGTTTTTGACAAACCCATGTTGGCTTTTAGTAATGCGTTTGTTTGCCTCTAGGTGTTCGCTGATTCGTTGTTTGATTATCTTTTCCAGAGTATTCCCAGGTATTGATTATCAGTGATACATGTAAAATGAATGCATCACATATTTATTTATTTATTTATTCCTGAGCTTTTTCAATCTGCTCTTAGGTTCACCAATCCCTCCTCTTAGATTGCAATTTATTTAAGAAGTCTTTGAATAATTATCACTTTATTGATAATATTATCATACTATTGGGTCAGGATTAAACTAAAAATATTCAGACATTTCTTCCTCTTTCATGTTTTTAAAAAAGAAATGCTATAATTCTCATAACATTCATATTCTTTGGCCTGAGTTATTGTGCTCCCTTTTGACTAAAATTCTAATCATATACAAATTCACAATGCAGTTATGTATAAGTAATAAAATTTACTTAGTATTAGTTAGTGTTATGTTAGAATTTGATAGCAGGTTTGTCAGGGAGACCAAGGACTGGATGCATAACACAGTAATATAATTTATAATTTATAAATGTTTTTGAGTCTCATTAATATCTCTAATATTCCTGTAGAAATCCATAAAGTGAAAAATAAAAATGGCAGAAAAATAAAGTGGAACTAGCCAAACAAACAAAAAATATTTGAATTATCTGAAAAATTAATTCAAATTTGATTCTAGCTTTCGCACCAATTAATGTTTAAAATAAAAACATGGTTTCATGTGATCACAACATAATTTGAGCAGAGTGCTCTCAGCTAAGCTATCACTGATCAATGAATGTAGTTTAAAACAGAAAGCTCCATCTTTCAAGCAGGAAAGAGAGAGGAAAGTGAGGGAAAATTGTACAGGGCTCTCTATAGTTTTTTCTTTAGGAAAACATGGCTTTACAATTACATTTCAACAAATGATTGTTTTATCTATTTTGCCAAATTTCTTCTTCAATTGCAATGTTTTGACTCCAGTATCCTGTTTCATCAGCCACTTTGTAGTACACAGAGTATACCAGTATATAGTTTTAGTTTTTAATCAGTCTTTTTTCTCCCTTCTTGATATACTTGGGGAGAGGACTGAGGAACGAAATGTTTCATCCATTTTTTTTTAAAAAAAGCAAATGATACTTGCACGTGGGCTAACGTCCTCTTACCTGTGATTTCAATTGCTCGTTTTTTGAAGGTGCTGATGACTGTCCCATCTTTCCTCCGCAACAGAGGACTGCTTCTTCTCTCTGCCACCTTCTGTTTTAATCGTGAGCGCACTTTTAAATTGGGTTCTGAGGCTGAAAGGAAGAGGGAGGCAAGAATGAAAATTAAGGTGATCAGTATTCTACTGAAATAGACAGACTTAAGCAAGGAAGCAAACTGTGGTGAGGAGAAGAAGCTAACTGCATCTACATTTACCAGATCAATCATATTGCTTCAAGAAAGACTGAGCTTTTTTATAAATATATTTATTCTGCATTTCTGAAACATAACAATAAAACATTCATTCCCAACACAATGTCTTCTAGTTCTACCAAATGCCAACCAGTACAGTTAAATGTCAAAGTCCATGATATCTGGACTCAGGATGACTCCATTAAGAAATGAAGAATCTGAGCAGAAGACATATTATTATTATTCTTTTTTAGCAACACAGATATCCAGCACTGATAGGGCCTGTGTAGGTGGATGCAGCTTATTCTCACTTATTTATTCTCTTCTGCCTGATAAAACCCTCCACCTCCACCCAGGATACCAATTTAGATTATTTTGCTCCATAAAATCTGGAAGATATTCTATATAGACAACTTTTTTCTATTCAGCTTCTATGTCTTTATAAAAGCATAAGTGGAGTCCTGCTTGATCAAGCTTATGATCCATTTAGTCCGTCCATAGCTATGCAGATGCATTCATAAACAAAGACAGCAGAGTTATTGTCTTCCCCTAGTGCTAGCAGCTATCTGGGATTAAGGAAGTAATAAATAGCCACTAGGATTAGTAGCCACTAGGACTAGCAGCCATGGATAGCTGCTGATCTTTCATAAATTTGTTCACTCCCCTTTGAAAACTTAGTGACCATCATACCATCTGATAGCTGCAAATTCCATGGTTTCGCTAAACACCATTTCTACATGTCCTTTGAAAGTATATATTCAATCAGACAATGCCAAACAGACTACTACCTTTTATTCAGATCCTATCGTTTTAGAGACTATAACTCAGACATTGGCCAGTTTCTTTGCATCACCTTTTCAAGATCTTAATTCTTTCAAACTATATATTTTTTACTTGTAACCAAGAAGTTGGCAAGGTTCGAATAACCACAAAATACACCTAACAGACTGGAGGTGGGGAGAACAATGGGGAGAACCACTTAATATAGTTAATAGCTTCTCCAGTCAAAAAGTTGAAGAGGTGATGAACAAGATTCTTTACTGACTTAAATCCTTAGATACATGCTGCCAGTCACTAGGTTAGGAAGACAAACAGTCAGAGTTGGCATAAGGCAACTTCCTATGTTCCTAAAATGTCCTGATTTTACTTAGCTGCTGGGCTGTTTTTTTTTTCACATAGTTTGACTGTAAAAAATTTTTTTGCAAAAACCAGCTGAGATGTTACACAATTAGCATCTAAACAGCTGATTTCTTGCAAGGGGGCAATGACTGCATCTAAAAATAGGCTGTTTGTGAAGCCAGTCTTTATAGTACATTTATCCAGTGCTCTATTGTAAATTTAGAATTCATGTCATAATATTTTAGCAGAATGAGGATTTAGTATGTGAGCTTGATTTTCAATCAGAAGTTGGGTTTTTCACATTGTAAAATGCAGTATTTCATAACATACTTGTAATTAATATTCCTTTCTCATTTGTAATCTGATTTAATCATATTTAATCAATTTTTCTTTCCTTCGCTCTGTCAGCACCAGTCCATTGTCTCTACAAGTTAGTACATATAAGTTGCAGAAAAGCCACGCAAATTGACCCTCTCCCCTTTTGTTTATTCTTCAGCTATAGATCTTTACTAACCAGTTTTCCGGAGTGGAAAGTCATCTCTGCTATCATAAGTGCCAAGTAAAGGTAGTTTGCAAGACGCTGGTGTTCCCGGGCTGCCTGTCTGGGGAGGGGAACTCTGGTCCAATGAGGTATGATGAGCCCCCCTGCACAAATCAGAAAAAATATGTCCAGATTTATGTATTTATTAAGAAAATTTATATAGCTGCCCAACTCACTTTGGTGACTCTGGGTAGCTTACAAAGAAAAACCAATAATTCCACAGTCATCAAGATTTAAATCAAGATAGCTGTTTGTACACTAATTAGCATACAAGTAGTCCTCACTTACTAACAGTTTCATTTAACAAACATTCGAACTTCCAACAGTGTAAAAAAACAGCTTTGTAATCAATCTTCAAATTTATGAGTTGAAGCATCCCACAATCACATAGTCATTTGTGCACTTTGCAACAGAGATAATGAAGAATGTGGAAGTAAAATTATAAGCCAATGATTTTCTACAGTGACCATTGCGCTTAGCAATGGAATTACTCATACAATTGTGGTAGCTAAGCAAAGACTACCTCTGCTTCTTCTGAAAGTATCCTTCTGCTTTCTCCATTCGTATTGGATTGCATTTTTAATTTATAGTTATTTAACATTTCTTTAAATTTCATTGAATGAAAACGGCACCCGAGTATATTCAGTAGTCAAAGGCCACTAGTACAGATGGATTCAGTTATCATTCATTTCTTCATCCTTGTTTTTTTCTGTATAGCCTGAAATTCTTCTACCTTTCCATTCAGCTTTGATGAAAGAATTCTGTAATACCAGAATGCTCATTAACGCTACCAGTATGAGTTGAAAATGGTACCATGATTCTTAAATTTGTAAAGAATGAAGGAAAAGGGAAGATTGGAAGGAAGATCACAGTAATCTTTATCTTCTCCATTTCTCCTTTTGGCTGGAGAATGATCACTGATTTAGTATAGTAATACTGATCTTCAACCCAAAACTTAACTGATTATTTGATCAATATTAATACCATTTCATTGAGCAACATATTGTATCCCTTTGTCATTAAAGCTTAGACCACTATACCAAATTCAGTCTTCTTTCTATGGCCTTTTCTGTAAAGCAGAAATTCAAAGAAAAAATTCTGATAGCTACTTGATAGTAGAAGCATGAAAATAAGTATAGGCTTAACTGGGTAAGACTGGAAAGGATTTAGTGATATTTCCAGTAAAACTGCCCGTTTCCTTGAGAAATGGATTTGACCAGATGCTATACAAATTAGACAAAGATGTACTATTGTTGTGAACAGAAAAGGAAGGAGAAACTGTCTTACGCTTCCAGTTCCCCCACGATTCATTATCCAAAAATAGAATTTGCTTTTGCATGCACAGACACAAACATATACACACACAGAAACACACAAGCTGGCATACTGGTGAGGGAACTGTGAAATTGCTATTTTGAGCAAAATAAATGAATGAATTATTTCCCATCATAATGTAATTATGTAAATATAATTATTGCTGAAGATTTAAATTTAGAGAAAATTAAGTCCTTGAAAATGAAGACATATTCCTATTCTACTGCTGGATATACAGGAGCAAATATCAGTTGCACACTGGTTGTATACAGTAGATCTTGCATGTTTGTGACTGAAGTATTTATTCCATAACTGAAACTCAACTCTGTGCACAGCCTGTCCTAAATCAGTCTTAGATGAAAATCCTAGAGTAGGGTTTCTCAATCTTGGCAACATTAAGATATGTAGATTTCAACTTCCAGAATTCCGTAGCCAGCATGCTTAAGTTAAGGTTGCCAAGGCTGAGAAATCCTGTCCTAAAGACAAAGGAAAGACTTACCAGCATTTTGGATGCTGGGAGAGGGAATGATTCAAGCCACCCACTGTAGTTGGCTCTTTTGACTTGCTGAGAAGGAACTCTTGAAGTTTCAGCTTCACTTCAGTGCTTGCAATAGCACCTTTAAAAATTATAGAAAAACACTGGTAGAAAACATTAAAGGCAAGTTGAGGTGTTATCTCCCTTCCCTAACCTGGGGCTATGCAAATATGCGACCTTCAATTCTCACAAGTATGCCAGTGAAATGTGTTCAGGGACACTACTTTCCTCATCTTGTATTCCAGGCTAACAACCTATTTTTAAAACCCAGCATCAATCAAGCTTACAAAAGGGGGGGTGGGGGAGAATCCACTTTTCCTAAGTACACTGGCAAGAATTTTAATCACATCATCCTTCACATATTACTGAAGAATTCCATCACAGAGCTACATTTACTGAAATTTTTTAATCATTCTTTATTTATTATGAGGTGGAGGTTACAGCATCAATTGAAGAGCCAAGCCAGACACAGCATAACATCCAGAAATGCCTCAAATTTTATTTCTTTAAACATGTTATACAATCCCAAATCAGGGCATGTCCCCTGAGGTTTGCCATTGAGATCTCTCAATTCAACCCATCCCCATGCTCCTGTTGACACAGATAACTGTTGGTAAACTGTAAAGAGCCTAGTCATGCTGGAGAAAAGTGGTAAATCTGTCCATCCAGTGTGAAAAAAAAAGTATATGTACAGAAATGAATTTATGTATGGTACTATACCTGCCTGCTTCAATGCAACATTGACTACATGTACAACCATGGGTGCTCAACTCACCATACATTGTCTCATTTAATCTTCAAAGGGAAAATGATTGTTCATCTTTGTTCAAAAAATAACTCCCAAAGTTTGCAGATTTATGAAGAATCTGAAAATTAATTTGCAAAGATTCTCCATTTAAATATATATATATATATTTAAATTCTACAATCTGAAAGGAAGTGCCATGACAAAGAAGTCTAACCTTGGGTTGAAAGCCAAATTCAACAATTTATTTACATCTTTATATTGCCAATATACTTGTGAGGACAATTTTAATTATTTGAGTGGGTTTAGGTCCATGCAGATTGTTTTCAAATATGCTTCTCTATATGATATTTTGGGAATAGGAGAATATAATCCTCTAACACTCTCTAGTTGTTTCTTCCAGTCCTTGAAATACAAACAGGATATCATTCCAATAAATGCAGTGCAATGCAATTAAAATTTATTACTTTCTTTGCTCTTCTCCTTGTTGCGTAAGATGAGTAATTGCTGCTCCAGACGCTGCTTCTCCAGTTCTTCTTGTCGCTGTTGTTCTCGTTTACGCTGTTGCTCTAGTTCTTGTTGACGCTTTGCTGCCAACATCTCTTGCTGTTGCTATAAAAAAGAACAGGGAGAGAGTCAACACCACCAAAGGCAATTATGTATGTGCTTGAGCTTACATACATAAGCTCATGTATGATGAGCTTATGCATAGATGTCACATATAAAATACATTTTCAAGTCATATTTCAAACACAGATTATAACATCAAAGGTGGAAAAAGTGAATTAAGATTGTTTTCACCCATTAATAACTTCTCTCTTCCAGTAATTATTGCTTTATAAAACTTCTGAGTGATAGGAAAGTTATAACTAAGGCTCTTTCTACAGGATTTTAGCAATTTAGAAGTTTCCACTAATAAAACTACCATGGAACTCCTATTTCCATATAGAAAACATTTCTGTTACTCAGTTGATCATCTGAGCTCCTGCCTCCTGCTTCTCTAGCATTTGAAATATGATAAAAGATTATGCAAAAAAATAGTAATGCTAGTGCTTTGAAATATCCTTCAAGAGGTCCATGTTTGCTTTTATATTGCTTTTGCAGAACATATTTGCATTCTGTAGTAATTCAGATTTCTCTTGATCTTATTGACTGATGGTTTCTCTTTTATGTTGTTCTCACTTAGTGTTTTATGGCCTGTCAGCTGTTACAACCTTTTTTTTTACAGGAATTATGCTTCTTTCTTATTATTTTTGTGATTAGCTCTCTTACTAGGCAAAAATCAAGCTTGGGCTCTGTATGCATATGCCAGTGAGGGCAAACCTTTTAGAGACCTAGTGCCCAAAAACCGCCCAGCCCCTGCCCCTGCTCCGTCCCCACCCCACCCGCCGGACCACCCACCATTTCCATGACCCGCTGTAGCAGATCGCCCAGGCGGCCCAGCAGCGTCATGGCGGCCATGCCCTCTGTTCGCGCCCTGCAGCATCATCTACATGCGATGGGGCGTGAGGGTGGAGTCTTGTCCCTGCTGTCATGTGCTTGGCTGCACTGCTCCATGTGGGCCATGCCCGAGGGCGACTCTCCCCTGGGAGGGGGCTGCTGGTGAGAAAGGGGGTGTGGGGGGAGGTGGGGCTGGGGCGATGGCCCATGCCCACAGAGAGGACTCCGAGTGCTGCCTCTGGCACGCATGCCATAGGCTTACCACCACTGGCCTATGCTGTCCACAATGTAAATTTTTCATTTGTGTATTTATGCTTATGTAACATATTTCTACCAAAGCCCATGCCCTTCCTCTTTCCATTCTCTAAGCTGTTCTTTCCTCGTCTGGATAAAATCTGTTGTCACCATTTAATTGTATTATGGTAACAACACAAAAATAAATTTAGGTTTGATAAGACACCAAAAGCATTCTAAAAATATAGCTTTAAAAATCAGAAACTTCAATTAGATAACAAAATAACATTATTTCCTAGACTTTCATTTATTTTACGGGTAGCTGCAAAAAGGTTGATAGAATTAGGAATGAATACAAACATCATCCCTGAAAACTACTTGCCAACTTAGGTTCTATTGTCTATATTGATACCTTCAGAAGAAAACAGCAAAATCAAGAAGAAAGGATTTTTGTAGGGATATGTGATGTAGAATGATATTGGAAAATAAAAGCACCTGGCCATATTTGGCTTCTTTATAATTAGCTTCTGATCTTGATAGTATTTAGAGAGGAGATTACCATCAAATTCCAGGACTTCTGGCTGAACTAGAAAGTTATTGTGAATAGCCCAGAATTGCTTAAGGTGGACAGACATATAACATTATAAATAAATAGGAAGTTGAAAAATAATCCAAAGACAGCAATGCAAACCATTTCTATAGTATCTCCTCCCCTCAAAAAACAAACAAACAAACAAACAAACAACGCATGAAGAATTGTGAAGATACTAGAAGTTGGGCTCAGTTTTATAATATAAACAGATCCCTTTTTCTACTTCTGATTTTTATCCCCAGCAATTATTATTTCTGAAAACAGAAAATATATAGAGAAAATCCTGCTGAAAACTTCCAGGTCTATGAAAGAACCTGGTATGTATAATTCAAAATTGAAGATGTGTATCACTGTAAGTGAGGTCTATAAACTATGGATTTAACTAAAGTTAAAAAAAAGTAGAATAAGGAGGTTTGGGATAATAGTTAAGATAAAAAGCTGCAAAATACTGATTTAAACAGTGGCTGATAGCATTTATACGTACTACAATTTGTAAAACAAAAATGTTCATATAAAAAAATCCTGATTATTAAATGCAACATTATGTTCAGATATAACTCTGAATTGTTACTACTGAATAAACCTACTCTCTCATCTTCTGACAAGCCTGTTATTAGTTGTAACTCGTTTATTCGATTCATACACATATCAAGTGATAACATAGCTTATAATCTAATATATGAGCCCACCAGTTTATTTGAACAAGCTAGAATCATAAAGTACAGTGAAAATATTTTATCCCAGTTCAAATATAAAAATAAGTTTATTGAAAACTAGGAACAATTTCCTCTTCATAATCACAATGGAACGTAGCTAAAAAGACATGCAAGTTTTTCCACCTTACCTGGGCTCATTGTATTAATCTGAAGTTCAGAATTAAATATGAATGAGGCCAGTGTAAGTAATAGCTTGATTAGGTTGCAAGCTATTAAAATAAGGGACATGGTAGTCTGTTTCTCGAAGTGCCTTTAAAAGTATGAAGTGGGTATGAGTGATTCATACTGATAGTAATCCATATTTTCAAGGACAGGAAGATTCTAAAATACAATACATGAACACCATCAAATAACATTACCCATATAGTTTTTATCACTGCTATTGAAACAAAATCTGGAGTCGCATGCATGAGTGATCAAAATAGAAGGGACGTTGTCTTACCTGAACGCCTTTTCTCAGCACGGAGATGGAGAATCCACCAATGGGTTAGGTCTGTCTTCCTGCCCATTCAGACCAGGTCAGTCAAACTTGCCATGCCTGTCCTAAGCTAGGACACACCCAGTCTTGACAAGGGCGAAAGCAGCTGACGACAGTCCAACGTGTTGGCTCCCAGACCCCTAACATTGGCCTGACGGCCTTATAGGGAAGGAGTGATTCTCCATCTCCGTGCTGAGAAAAGGCGTTCAGGTAAGACAACGCTCCTTCTCCAGCACAGGAGATGGAGAATCTACCAATGGGACATACCAAAGTCTCACTGTCCCAATGAGGGGGAAACAGAAAAGGCCGGAGCCACGTCCCCAGAAACCACCTGCTGAAGGACCCTCCTTCCAAAGGAGGCGTCCGCAGATGCAAACTGGTCTATCTTATAGTGCCTCACAAATGGGGAAGGCGAAGACCATGTCGCAGCCCTGCAAACCTCCTCGATAGAAGCCTGTGTGGCCCATGCCGCAGAGGTTGCAGCGCTGCGAGTAGAATGTGCTGTGACATGACGTGGAGCTGGCAGGGAATGCAACTGGTACGCCTCTGCAATGCAAGTCCTGGATCCACCTGCCTATGTTGAGGCAGACACCTTCTGCCCCATGGAGGCCTGGTGAAAGGAGGCGAAGAGGGCTTCAGACTTGCAAAAGGACGCTATTCTCTCGATACAGTGTCGCAACACCCTGCGGATGTCCAGTGCGTGCCACTGCCATTCCAAGTCATGAGACGGATTAGGGCAAAAATCCGGCAAAACAATCTCCTGTGCTCGATGAAAAGGGGTGTTGACCTTCGGGATGAAGGTAGGGTCCAAATGAAGGACCACCCGGTTTTGGTGGAAGGTACAAAGATCCGCCCTGACCAACAGTGCCGCGAGCTCAGAGATGCGCCTGGCCGATGTGATGGCGACCAAGAAAGCCACCTTGAGGGACAAGGACCTCAGGGCACAGGTTCTGATAGGCTCAAATGGCAGTTTGGTGAGGGCCCATAGGACCCGTGGCAATTCCCAAGAGGTTTACCTATGTACTATGGGAGGTTTTGTGTTGGTAGCGCCCTTGAGAAAGGAGCATATCCTGGGATGCTGGGCCAAAGGAACCAAATTGGCACAGGTAAGTAGAGTGGACAGAACTGCGACCTGCCTGTGGATGGTGTTAGGTACCAATCCCTTATCAAGACCTTCGAGTAAGTATTCCAGGATGCTCAGGATAGTCATGTCCGAGATAGCTAGATGCCGCCTCTCACACCAATTGCAAAAGTCCCCCCATGTGGATTCATAGATTCGATTTGTTGCCGGCCGTCGGGAGGCCTGAATCATGGAATCATGCCGGGCGAGTATGATTCCCGTGTCAGGATCCGGCATTCAAGTGCCAGGTGGCTAATTGTAGCCACTGGGGTTCTGGGTGTTGCAGAGCTCCCTGGCTGAGAGACACACGATCCGGGGGAATTCTCCATGGGGCAGAATTGGAGAGATTCACAAGGTCTCCAAAACCTTGGGAGGGTGGAGGGCAATTTTAGACCTCAAAGGTCTGAATTCCCATATTGCATACCGAAAATTCAAGATGCAGACTCTTCAGTCCATCTTGGGCAGCATAAGGAACGGAGACTTCCTGGCGTCCATAGACCTCACGGAAGCATATCTCCACATCCTCATCCTCCCAGACCACCGGCAGTTCCTCAGGTTCTGTTACGCGGGCCATCACTACCAATACAGAGCCCTTCCCTTCGGCCTTTCACCAGCTCCAAGGGTGTTTACTAAAGTCCTGGCAGTGCTGGCTGCACATCTTCGATTGGTACTGCTGCGTGTCCAGTGTTATCTGGACGACATTCTCATCCAGTCGTCCACGAAGAGGATGGAGTAAAATCCCTGCCCCTGTTGACCGACCGGCACAGGTTCTATGACTCTTATCTCCAAAAGATGTCAAATGGCCTCCTGCATGAGGCCATTTTTGACAGGATTCTTTGATAGGGGCAAGGAATGAAGTGCTCTGGGGGGCTGCACACGAATTCCAGGGATAGACTGTATTGAATGGTCTGACGGACCCAGGAATCTGTAGTGGTGGGCAAGAGCGCCAGTCTGCCACCTATGGGGTGGTAACTTGGGAGTCATTTGGATCTTCTATAAGGGCGACCCCCCCTCAAAATGGCCGCTTGCTCTGGAATTGTTGTCTGGGGCTGGGGCTGGTCCTGTCAGCCGGGCGATCCTGTCTGGCCGTGAAGGGGCGGGGAGGCTAAATGGAACTTGAGCCCATTCCTGGCTGAAAGGACTGCCTGTGCATGTATGGGTTAGCGTGCCTGTCGGCCCGTTTGCTGAGGTGGACCAACTCCTTCCACTTGTCCTTATTTTCGGTCAAATAAGGAGTCAGGGCCTCTCCAAACAGCTGACCACCCTGATAGGGGGTGTGGCTAGACCCCATTTGGACTTTGGGTCAGCTTGCCAATGTTTTAGCCATAGTATCCTTCGTGCTGAGATGTTGGCTGCTATGGATCTGGATGAGAACCTAGCCGCATGTAGTGTCACATCTGAGACATACTCCAATGCTGCAATGAGCTTGCTCAGGTCTTGTTGGGTATGTACCTCCTCCGGGGGAAGCCTAGCTTGTAGTTGACGGAGCCAGAGTAGGGAAATCCTGGCAAAGAAGGATGCACAAGTGGCAGCTCTAACCACCCATGCCGCCGCCTGGTGAGTCCTGCGGAAGGCCAGTTCCCATCTCCTGTCCTCAGCCTTTATGCCTCTGCCATATCCCCCGACACTGTGGATGAGGACAAGAGGGGACCAAAGGGTTCATCCAACATTGACACCTTAAGGTCCTCCGCCAGGTCTGGCGCTGCGCTGAACAGTTTCCTGTCTGTTCCCCCCGGGGGGGGGAAGGTGCCAGGTGATACCCATTGCTTCCGGACCGCATTCCGAAAGAGTGCTGGACAAGGAACATGGTGCGGAGTTACAATGGGCTCGAAGAACACCAGGTTCGAATCTGAGCTGGATGGTGGATCTGACTGAGGGGTCTGGTCAGGGCCTATGTTGGCTGTTGTACTGGCCCTGCAGAGCAGAGGCAGGAAAAGGGCCGGATTGAATAGACCTCAAAATGGTGGAGGGTCTGGGGGAGGGTCTTCCTCCTCCCACCATGACATGTCAGGTTGGTCCTCCCACGAAGATGAGGCTCTGCTGAGAGAGGATCAGGATGGTGAAGAGGGACCCTGGTACTCGGGTGCACCCAACTGAAAGGATGGGGGCATGGAAGCCACGGACTCGGGTCTGGGCACGTAGTAAGACCTAGCAGCAAGTGCCCGGTCCACCACCTGGGTGATCAGGGTTTGGAGACGGTCCTCAGAAGGTGAGCCCTTGGGCTCAGCCACCCTGAGTCCAGCCACTGTGGAGGTAAAAGTGGCCTCTGGAACTGAATGTGAGACCTGTGGTGGCAATGATGGTTGGTGGGTCATTTGGACTTGATCCACCCCAGAAGAGGGTTTGCGGTGGGACTCCCCTCTGGAAACCAGACCCCTTGAGTAGAAGTCGAGGGCCCCAAAGGGAGATCAAAGTCCGCGTCCTCTGTCTGCTCCGCCTTTGCCCTGACCTGCTTCTGCGCCTTGGAGAATTCCTTCTCCAAACCCTGATGCCTTGTGCTAGCCTGTTTCTCTGCCACTTTTCAAGGCTTCTTTCCAGAGATGGTTGGGCCTTGGCTTTGATCCTGCCTGCCGCATCCTGATTGGAGGATTTCTGCCTTTTATGGCTAGTAGATGGGGAGGCAGTGTTCTTGAGTTGAGACACCGTAGAGTCCTCCATCCTGGGGTGAGAGGGAGCTCTGGCAGGGAATCAGTTGGCGATTTGGCTGAGCAGGTGGAGCAGGGGGTTGCCAAGGCAATAGTTTATTCCGCCCTGCTCCCCTGGCCACCCAGTCGGTGAGGGAGGCGGACTGTTTGTCCCCCTATTTGGGTCCAGTTGTGTCTACGGCTACGGCAAACCTGCTTCCACGTACAGCTCTGGTAACGACGAGGTGTCAGCACGCTCGCCTGGTGGGTTGGATCTAGCCCACTAAGGGGTGGCCAGGTTAATGAATTGCACCAGTGAGTGCCAGTAATGCAGCTCAGCGGCTATGGCACACCACGTGCACAAATAGTGGCGGCACAGGGCGCTGGTAATAATGCAGGCCGGCCTGGTAAGCATGGGCCGGAAAGGCCGAACGACCCCAGCTCTTAAAAACCCAACACAATCCTAGGTTGCTTTAACTGAGGGGATGGAATAGAATCAAGATCACGTGAGAATAGGCTGAAAATGGCCCCAGCTGCAGGACAGGCTGCGGTCCAAGATGGCGGTCACCCGATCGGCCTGTGAGGGAAAAACAGAAGGCTGAAGATACGGAGCCAATAAGGGGGTCTCAGTAAAAACCCGCCGGGAACTTGCTCGGCTGCCACAACTCTTTCCGGTAGCCAAAAAGACGACCGGAGCATTCCGGGTTGAAAACGGCAGGAAAGGAGCCTTCCGGGTCGAAAAAAATGGCAGTCGCTTGAAACGGCAGGAAAAGGAGCCCTCCGCCTCTACGATTCTGCAGTGTCTGTTCAGGCATCGCTTCTCGCACTTACTCTCTTTAAAAAGGATTCAGCCGAATGAGAATCCCACCCCCCCCCCGGGAGGTTTGAAGAGCCTCGGGCTGCAGCGCTGATCCCAGCGCTGTAGAATCTAAGTAAAATGAATGAAAGTAGAACGGAAGTCTCCATTCTCTTTATGGACCCGAAAGAAAAAAAATTTAACCTCAGACTGCAGCGCTGATCCCAGCACTGCAGAATCCAAATGGGACTGGATGGAGGGAGAACGGAAGCCTCCGTTCTCCTTAGGAGTCTAAAAGAAAAAAAAATTGTCTATCTTCTATCAGTCATTCAAAGCAGCGCTGATCCCAGCGCTGCTGAGAATGAACATGGATCTTATAGGAGAATTCACCAAGGGTAAGCTCTATCCTACCTCTTTCTGGGAGCCAAGATTGGCATGTCTTGTAGGGCTGGAGACCAGGTCAAGACTGGGTGTGTCCTAGCCCAGGACAGGCATGGCAAGTTTGGCTGACCTGGTCTGAATGGGCAGGAAGAAGAGCTAACCCATTAGTGGATTCTCCATCTCCTGTGCTGGAGAAACATAATATCACACTTGGAGATGAAAGAATGTGCCAGAATTTAAATCACTGCAATTCTTATCTCTGGATTCTGAAAATTGGAAAACGAGCACATAACATTCTTTGATCATGTTCAAAAAAAAAAAAAATCACTGTTCCAATACCCAGATTTTTTCTCTGCATTTGGATTCAGTCTAAGGACTTCCAAATGAAAAGGTACAGAATCTATGCAATTTTTGAGTCTTGTCTCTTACAGTAGTACAGTGCCTAAAAGAAAGGAATTCCTACTCCAATCCCGAGTAGTTAATTAAATGTAACTGAAGTGAATGCAGATTTATTTTTACCAGTATTTTCATCTGCATTGAATTTTAAATTCTAGCTTGGTTGATTGAGCTTGGGGGTTTCTCCTTCATAAAGAGCTTTGCATTTTGATGGTGAGGAAAACAGTAAAACAAGGCAGAAATGACACACCGTACTTCAAATCCAAAATTAGAAAAAGTTGATTGATACATACCCCATCCCATTCCCAACATAAATAGTTCTTCCCAGAATGGAGCTCTAAAATAAGAATGCTCTATCAGAAAAGATCCTGATCCCTGGAACAGTCTAGATAACAGATGGAACTCATAGCAAGGCTTTATCAACAGAAAAGAGCAAAGAAGAAAACAGGGGAAGAAGCACTGGCATGGGGGACATAGGATCAGGTCCATGAGTGCTAAGATTGTTAATTAGGCTCAGAAACATACAGACTATCATGGAATGCAGACTAATGCAACCTGGAATACTTTCCTGCTTTGTCTATATCAGGTGCCAACCTGTGGAATTCAGTACTTTTCCAGTGTCTAGGAAGAGCCATTAATTTAATAGGAGGATAGATAGGATTAGCTTAGTTGGCTGCCAAATTCTAGACAACTATAATACAGCAATGTTATCTACTGGCTATTTTTGCATTCTAGATGTGGTAGCCAATGGTTATAAGATCAAGGAAGAAAGAGGAAAAGTATAAAATAAAGGAGATAAATGGTAATTCGGGCCACAGCTATCATGGGAGTCTCAGATCACAAGACTGAAACCTTGAGAAGCTACTTGCTACATTCTATAATGTCAGAGGAAATGTTAGCCAAACCCCCAAGCATCTTAGGTCTGGGTTTTATCAATATTCAATCTTGCTTATATGTAGCCTCATCAAGCCTGAAACTCTTCTTCAACTATTGATCTTTATTCTAGGAAACATGCTGTTGCAGCTGGCACTAGTATCATTAGCCTATGTCACTCTGTGACAAAAAGAAGGTATTGTATGAATACCATTTCAGGTACAATCCTATTTAAAGGATTTCCATTGGGCTAGGATTCTTGACAACTGCTGCGAGTTCAAATAGATAATACTGGGTGTGACACGAAAAGTATGATTCAGAAGGAGACAGCTTGGTGAGCATCTCCAAATTACCTTGAGGTGTTTCTGCAATTGGACTTCATGTTGCCGTGTTAGATGCTCATGTTGCTTCTGAAACTCGGCAAAGAGCAGCTGCTTCTGCAATTGCTGTTGCTGTTTCAGAGCCAGCAGTTCCTGCTGCAGCTGCTGCTCCCGGACAGTTGGGTCCATAGTGGACACATTAGATCGGGAATCCATCCGCAAATCCACTGGGCTGCTGTTGCTGTTGCAAGAATTCTGCATCACCATGGGAAGAACCGGCTTCAAGTCCATAGCTGGAGATTAGAAAGAGAGTTCATGATTGCAGTAGAACAATTGGCAACAAAGAGTGCTGAGATCATGGCCTACATGTGCACGTTTGTCTATCCTTAAAGAAGAGCCTTGCAGCAAGTAGAGTACTTCTGTTTGCATGATAAAACTGCCAAAGACAAACTTCATGGATATACTATTACAATTTTATGCACATCAGTAGCTAAACATGATTTGTCGTTTATGAAGTCTACAATATAATATAATATAATAGAATAGAATAGAATAGAATAATAACTTTATTGTCACTTTGAATGTACACTAATCGGCATACATTAAAATGAAATTTCATTGCATTCAGCTCTTAAAGGGTCACCATCTCCGATACACACTACATAAATATGACAAAAATAAATAAATACAGAATTATCTATATACCCACATATATTATATGACACAGAGAAACAACAGTCTAGTTCGGGTTATGTATACATGTGCATGGCGAGAAAAACAAATCTTGCAAATTTATCAGACGGATGGCATAGGGAACATTGCCATTATCTTGGTTGCTCCAGTGTCATGGAAGGTTGATAACAGTCTGGATCCTTGGGAAAGGGTTTGGGAGTTTGTTTGTGGCTGACAATAACAAGTGGGAGTTGCACCAAATATTATATTTCAGATTTTCAGCTAGCTACCCATTCTTTTTTTTCCAGGATTGATTCAATATGTTTACAACTTTTTCCTCTACTGAGTAATCATGTCCTGTTCAATGACCAAGTTCTACCCTATCATAGGATTAAAAATAAACGTATTTTTTTCTTCTTAAAAATTTTGCATTTCTGCAAATATTAAAATCCCTTTAATCCTACTGATAACCCTCTTATTTTGTGTAGATTATGTTGCTTGACTACCTAAGAATCAATAGTTAGGTTATAATTTAGAAAGTGGGAAGAGAAGGATGAGGGGGGACATGATAGCAGCGTTCCAATATCTCAGGGGCTGCCACAAAGAGGGAGTCAAGCTATTCTCCAAAGCACCTGAAGGCAGGTCAAGAAGCAATGGATAGAAATTAATCAAAGAGAGAAGCAACCTAGAACTAAGGAGAAATTTCTTTTAAAATCATTAACTATGGTCTAGGAGTTCAATGTTATCATTATAGGGACATGATATTAATGAAGAATGTATTTAAAATGAGTTTGTATTTTTTCTGACCTCCCTTTATGAAGATGGGCAGACAAATTAAATATTCAAACGTACTAATTTTCATTACTCCAAAAGAGAACACTAATAATTATGCTGCAAAGTAAAAAATTATTTATATAAAATAAATAAAAAATATTTTCAAGATATAGAACAGACGCTAAACCTTCCATGCCTACTGCAGAGATTTACAATCCAAGTCGGTTGTAAACGTCATGCCAGTCTCAGGCATCTGGCATCTGTTGAGGGGTTTAACATGAGACATATCACAATGAACGGATGGATGAATATTTCAAGGTTCCAAAGAAATCTATTCACAAACGGATGCCAATTTCCAATTAGCACAACTTATTTCTAAGACTATTTTGCCAACCATTGCCAATGTATTGGCTTTTTTATCTACCAACATTTTAAGATGCCTAGACAGGAGTGCCACAAATTCTCCCACATCTTCAGTCTTTTCCAAGTCTAAAATCAAGACGAGGTTTCCTAAATCAATATGAAGATGTAGATGAAAATATGATACTTATGAACCAGGCATAAGGATCATCTTCAGGGATATTCATCTAACCAACTTTTGAAGATTTGTTTAAGAAACTGTGCAGACACACAAATTATTGGTTTTCAGTGTTACCATTTTACACATATTTGGGCCTTGATTCAAAGGTCTGGAAAAATGACACAAGAAGTATTCATCACAGATAAATCTTGTAAAATAAATCCTTTGATGGCCTAGGCCACATATGCTGCAAACTGAGATGGCAGCAAGGGCTGCTATTTCTGAAACTTCCTATTTATGAAAAATTCTCTACAAATAAAAATTTGTGTCAAAAAGTAGCAAGACAGCTATTGCTCATTTCTTCTGATTATGTTTACTTGCAGAGTTTTGTGTTATTTTTTTCTAAGGGAGCACTTTGCAAAACTGTCTCCTTCACCACCAGTAGAAAATCTTACCTCACTATCTCAATAATATGTATCCTAGCCCAGATGTATCGACTGGGCTTGGGGAGAGAAGAAATTTAGACGGCAGCTATTCCCAGGCAATCAAAGCTGCCCTTTTTTACACATGTGTGACACATATAATAAAGCGGCAGAGCTTCAGTCACACAGTCATGATTGCCATCCTGAACATTCACACACGCTGACACTTTTAGATTAGACTATAAAGAGAACCAATTGAAGGCAAAAGATTTGGAGAAAAAATTAAAGTGTGGTTAACTAAGCTCTGTATCTTTATACATTAAGAGGGTTGCTTTGAAGAGAAGTGAGGGAAATCCCCAGCTAATTAAACTTGTGCGTCTGTAGGAACTCTGTAGGACAAAACATATTTAAAAATAAAGTTTGGCATTTCCTTCCAAGATTTAGGGCTTGCTAAGGCTACTACTTTGTCCTTAGCTTGTTAAGTCCTAGGGTTTGCTAAGGACAATACCGAGCAATCCAAACCTTGGATTCCTAAGCCTGCAAATATAATTGCAAAACTTCAATGAAACAATATGTACTTCTATCAGCACAGAGAATTCCTTAGAAAAAAGACCAGTCTCAGGTGGACATAAAACAAAAATATCATGGCAAGGTTCATCAAAGGACAGTTTTCAAAAATAGGTATGAGTTTATACGCCAGTAAAGTCTGTAATCCACTGGACAGGGGCAAAAGAAATATCATCTAATCCCCAAATGATGGGATAGATTGAAACAACCTGCATCTGGAAGCAATATGTCTCCAAGCTAGGTGGTATCTCAGCATGTTGGTTGCAGAAAACAGATGCTTTTCCAAAGTAAGAGCTTGTGATGTGCTTTAGTTTAAAACTTATTGTTACTCTGGCTCAAAATTATCAGCATATCAGAGGACAGGTATGCTTAGCCTTGAAATGTTATCCCTATAAGGTTCTCAGCCTTGCAACATTAATGAGCAATAAAAGGAAATATTAAGTGCCCTTCTAGGATTCATGTGGAAGGCCTTTTCAAGCAGAAGACACAGCTTTCAAGCCTCAGTGCAGAAGGAGAGGGAGAGAAGGAGGAGAGACACAGAGAAGGAGATTTCTCACAGATTGGCAACTTGAGCAGAACTCAGCACTACTTCTGCAGCTTCATTTGCACTTCCCAAAGTAACACTGCTACTGCTACAGTTCACACTCTTCTTTTCTATATCTGAGTGACTTGCAGTCGATTTGGCACATTGTGAATGAACAAGGGCTATGGTGACTCATCAGATACATACCCTCTGTTTTCACTGCTGTTGTAAAAAAGCACGGTCTGTTTTATTAAGTCACATGTGCATATCTTCTGGGTATATGTGTATATGTATATGTGTATATATGCGTATGTTTATAGAACTCTGCATCACCGTTACCATCCCAAATGAGATGCAGCAGCCTAGAATAGTCCCGCACAGAGAGACATGGACATATAGTATCAGTAGCTGAGAAATCAAGTCTGACACAAATCGTACCATTCAACCATCCTTTTCTGGGATTCTGTTGTAATTATAAGCAAGAGGGTTGGAGCAGGGGAGAAAAGCCCATAAAAGACAGCAAGAAAGTCAGGAACTACTGTAAATATAGATGAAACCAAATAACAGCTGTTCACAGAACAGAAAGCAAGGAGAGGAAGAAAGGACAGTTAACCCAGAGGTGAGAAAGACAGATGAAAAGGAAAAAAGAACTCTTGATTGATTGTTCTCAAGTTTTAATGCTTCTTGAAACTCTTGTCTGTCAAGCAAAATAGAAGTGAGAACAAGAGCCCTGAAAAGTTTTAAAAAGCATAGAGAAAAATAGAGAGAGTATTTACACTTGAAAAATAGAGACATACTAAATACAAATATGTTTTGATTAAAAATTTCCAAGGCAGCTGCAATAAAATGTTAATGTACATGTGACAAACAAGTAAAACCAAAGCCAAGCTGTTTTAAATTTTTTTCTCAAGTAAATAAACAAAATTGTGCAATACAAAGAGTGCTGTTAGTAGCTTGTAGTTATATCCATTGAATATAGCATCCAATTTTAACTCTGTCACCATAGTTATTAATCCCACATTTTTTTCAAATTGTGGATCCAGACTTTGGGAAAATAGTGACCAACTTTGCAAAAGGAGTTTATGTCACAATCTTTTTTTTTTTTTTTTAATCTGATCTGACTTTTGCAGGCAAAGTGAAAATATCAAACTGGGTTTGGGCATTGGTCCTCATTTTGCTTATGCAGATTACAGTAAGTAGTTGCTGTCCTGCAGTTTCCTATGATAATACAGATTAACATTTAATCATTAAAAGTGGTATATTTATTTCCTAACCAACCATAGAACCATTAATAATGTATTATTATTAATGATACATTAATGCAAATTAATGTATCATTTTAGTATTGCAAAGTTTGAAAAGTAATATATTAATTGATTAGCTGGCACCACTGTGGAGGGAGGATCTTGTTGGGGTGAGATTAAGATTAAGAACTCAAGAAAAGTCTTGCAAATGCCATCAAAATCCAGCATCTAATCTACTTGGCAGTCTACCAGAAGCTCACAAGCAGAACATAAGGCAACTGATATTTTCCAATATTCTTGCTCCACAATATTTTTTAAAGTTTTTAATTGATTCAAATATAGGCAATGCCAGACTTTCAACCACAAATGGGATTAGAATTTCTGCTGCTAAGCAAGGCAATTATTAATAAATTGCACCTGATTTTATAACTTTTTGCCATGTTTGTTAAACAAAACAGTGCAACTGTTAAACGAATCAAGTGGCTGTTAAGTGAACCTAGCTTATCCCATTCACCTTGCTTGTAAGAAGTCACCTGAGAAAGTCACAAATAGCAATCATGTGACTTCAGGA